TGAGGAGGAGTTCTCAAAAAAGGATGGAGGGGTTTTCAAATGAGATATTTTTGACACCCTCTCTCCTCTTTTGAGAACTCTTCTAATATTGAACTATTATTTTGAGAACCCCTCTAATACTTTAGAACCCCTTGATGGAGGTGGTCTAACATAAGTAGAAGAGAACACAGAAGCTAACTGTTTAATATCCTTTATGATCCCATAGATCTCCTTATTATATGCCTCTATTTTGATAGCTTGGATAAGCTCCTTTGCGTCGGATTTGAAGCATACAAACTGCCAACCACGATCATGTGCTTCACCAAGAGCCGCGCGCATTGCCCATGCTTCCGCTAGCAATGGTGATTTAACATGGTCCCTTTATTTATTTGTTCTCGTTGAGCCTCTTGCCATTCTCGAGCATTTGATATGGCCATTGTAGCTGTGTCTTTCGCCGAGACCACTCTGTTTTCAAAGAGTTTGAGAATTCTTGTTGTCCATAACGACCCATGGAAGAATGTTTCCGGTTCCAATACCCGACGGTGGGAGACTGATCCAAGTCTTGCTTAATTTTAGTCCTTCTTTGACGCTTTGAATTGAAGACCAGTTCACTTGTTCTTTGAGTGGTATTAGGTTTCATACCTGCGCAGCAAAAGGGCAATGGAAAAAAGAGATGTATTGTTGTTTCCTCTTCTGTGAAGTGTAGGCAGTTGGTGTCTCCTAAGAGGCCTCGTTTTGCAAGATTCTCCCCTAAAGGAATAGCTCCTTGAATGACTTTCCACCTAAACAATTTTAGTTTCGGAGAAAATTCCGTAAACATATTTTTTTAATGATTTCAATCATGAAATCTATTCCAATATCATCTAGATTCAATTTAATTCAACCACAAACACTTTTTTGGAGAAGAAGAAAGACTAACCTTGATCCATTGCTTGATTGGTTTGAAATAGAATCAATTCACCAATTGATTTCTTCCTCNCTTTGACCTTTCACTATCACGATCCCTTTTTGATGGAGAAGGAATCAACTCCCTTCTCTATTTGTTTGTTTGATCGTTGTTCTATTCTTTTACAGAAAATAGAACGTGTCCTTTTAAGGTTTCNTTTCTGTGGGTTTTATATATTTTGATAAGTTGTGATGGTTCATCACAAAACCCATGTAACCACTTTTTATGTAATCAGCACTTATGGATATATATTGTATATAAAGCATCAACCATATGTAGTTATAATTATTACTTTATTAACTACGATGCA